CCCCAAAACCCCAAAACCCCAAAACCCCGTAAGATGAATATCTAAATGGCCTTGATGATTAGTATAACTGGATGTTTTGAATTCTTAACTTAATTTGCAAAAATTATTATTAATGCGCAAAATAATAATCACTTATGAAGTGATTATCAAATTCTGTAATTCTATTAGAGAGTAATTTTCAATAATGTCTAACTCTAACATTTGTTGTAGCAATCTTGGGAGCAGGGACTGGATTATAACTGAGTGCATCCTTAACTCCTTAGCCTTAATTGGCAGTACCTTATCTTCCTCCTCCGAATCCATTGTAAGTTTACTACGCACCTTATCCACCTCCAAAAATGTTATTTGTACTAGAATTATTCATTCTATTCTGAGGTTGAATGACATTACTGTTTGATTGTCTTTTTGTGTGGACACCATTTATTTGAGTTTCATCTAATGGCTTCGAGTAGGAATTTCCATAGGGAGGTGGATATTATTTTCTTTCCTCTTATTATTTGAAGCCATTATTTGTTCCTGCCATTTAAGCTCCTCCAATTACTTAATGCCCCATCATCATTCTGTTTTCTTTTCTTTCCTCTACTATGTTTTATTATTTAGCTTAATTCACACCAGTATTTATCATTTCAGCTGTAGTTTATCTTTTATAACCTTAATTTTGCTACTGCCTGTTATCATTTTAAACTTAAGGTTGTTGGTTTTGAATTGGCGGTCTTACCTCTTATGGTAACTTTTATCCACTCTTAAGAATGACCCAATCATATTGATAATCACATTCGTATCCGCTTCTATACATTAAATCTTTGAAAAGTTTTCTCAAGTAACTATAATCGGGTTTCTCCTCAAATTTTAAGTTCCTGCAGTATTGAAGATATAATGAAAACTCCTCTGGTTATCCTCTTGAAAGGGACTCGATCGTTGTACTGACTTTCTTTTCTTTGATTTTATTGTATTTCTCATCCTTATTTTTTGCATTTAATCCCTACCAAGGTAATGAACCCTTTAAGAAGTACATCAAGATGAAACCAATTGACTCTAAATCGTCTCTTCTTGATTATTCGATTCCTAGATGGGTATTTACTGATGCATATCTGGCTGTTCCTGTTAGTGATTTGTTATCTCTGTATGGAATGTGCTCTCCAGTTTTAGGGTCTCTATATCTCTTAGCCAGCCCAAAGTCAATCATGTAAACTAGGTTTTGTTTTTTACCAATACCAACCAAAAAGTTGTCAGGTTTCATATCTCTGTGGATAAAATGATTATTGTGTAAGAACTCAATCCTTTGGATCATCTAATCACCAATCATGAGTACAGTTTTCAATGAAAACTTTCTCTTACAGAAAGTGAACAGATCTTCAAGTGAAGGACCGAGTAAATCCATAACCATACAGTTATAATCGCCTTCAACACCAAACCAATGAACAGAAGGAATACCGACTAAACACATTTAAACTAATTTTGTTATAAGTACCTCCTCCAATCAGGATTTTATATAATTTCGTCTCATAAAGCAATTGCGGAAACTTTGTCTTTGTAGGTTCCTAAAGTGAAAATTAGACTAAAGTAATCAATGAAAAAGGAATAATGGTAACTGCATGTAAAATTTGAGGTATAAAATGTTTACCAATTTAATTGCAACTTCTTCACCAGTTTTCATCGTAACACCTTAGGAAATTTAATCATCAATAGAAAATAAGTTTAGATTACCTTGATAGATCTCACCAAATGCACCACTGCCAAGTTTTTTTTAAAGTTTCCACTTTCCTCCGACTCTTAAGTCCATATTGTTTTAAGAATTATTTAAAAAATTTCGTTAATTCTCAAATTATAAAATCAAAATTTCTGATGGGGTTTTGGGGTTTTGGGGTTTTGGGGTTTTGGGGAGATCT